GAGAGAGAGAGAGAGACAAGAGATGCATTATACTTTTTCTCTTCCAATTCATCTGAATCTCTTTGAATGATAAAATGCTTGCGTTTTTCTATTATGCATTCACTCAATGCTAACAAAACAAATTTTGATGAATAAAAATATAAGAGATGTGATATATGTATCAAATATAATGCTTGATTCCATTACATCTGTTTGGCAAACACTAACACAATCTATGATTTATTTTCATTCATCTTATTTATTGTCTAAATATCTAATCACTAAATCCTTTCTAAATATACTCGATGTTACTTTTAATCATCACGTCTTATATCATTATAAACTAAATTTATTACTTTCAACAAAAATATTGCTGTAAAGGCCATAGAATATAAGGCACAAATTGGTGGCTAAAGTGAACACATGTAAACATTTAGTTTAAATTTAGCCAAAAGTTGGTTTAAATTTACTTATAACTTCAACATTACAGGTATACTTATGATTTACAGGCAGTTTATTAAATATACAACTTATTTGTAAAATGTACATTTCGTTTTGACCACTATGATCTTTACAATTGAATGGATGGAAAACACACAGAAGTTAGCGATTCATTGCATTCAATTGTCATATTTTGATTCAATTATAAATTCACGCTTTATTATAAGATTGCTCATTGAAGTGAATCGTAAAATTACAATAATAATTGTATGCATTGTTAACTTCTGTCTGTTTTCCACCCATTCAATTGACCCCTACTATGCTTAATGTGATTCTCGGTAAGTGCAACTAGGTTATTCTAGATTCTAGAACCTACTTTAGAAACGTCACAATAACACTAAATATGTTGATTATAACAAGAGTAGATTGTATTTACCACAAAATAATATAATAATTTAAATCACAAAATCATTTTTAAAAAGTAATAAATTACAAGTGTTTTATACTAACTGTAAAAAAATATTAAAACACACTTTGCATCAAGAATTTGCTTAAAATCGGGTTATATTCCAAAACTTCTATTTAACATTCAGTTTGCATTAAAACAATTTAATAGGAAAGACGTCTAAAATAGTAAAATTAAATTAACTTATAAACTCTAAAAGACAGAAAAATATAAATTTCAACAAAAATTTAAGTTTTCTCTTATAACAGAGAAATACATTCAAGTCATAGAAAATGTATTTAATATTAGCATAAAGTTATGATACGGTTATGTATGAAAAGACATATCAAAAGATTGATTAAGGCTTAGGTTGTGTTGCAGTCAGTGATTGAGGCCTTTAAAGCAAAAGCCGAACTGCAATTGCAATGCATTTGTTAGCCTTTCATATAATTTGTTGGTTTAACCAAATCTCTAATCAAACATCACTTTTCCATTAATCCTAACTTTTACTAATGCTTTGAAAAATTGCCTCAAAATATACGTTAAATACAATCTCATTGGAAATTAATATCAAGTAAATGAACGGCTCGTATGACAGAGATATGGTTCACAGGACTCAACACAACATCAATGGATAACTGTTTTCGTTATCAAAGTATTGAACGCAAAGAAAAAAACCAATAAAATGGTCTCAAAATGTATCCAAAAATGTGGACAAATAGTGAAATGCAATGCATTTTATGCATAATTTAACGCAAAACTCGGAAAAGCAAAAGCAATGCATCCGTCAAATGAATATCCCATTGAAATAGCATTGAAATGAATGCAAACGAATGGTAACGCTATCTATGAATGCATGGAAATAATGCCAGTATTTGTTGCGAAAAACGTTTTTCATTTGATTTGTTGTTTGTTTTGGTGTTTGAGTCGATTGTGAGCACAGATGAAGAGGTCATCGGTTCCCTTGTCTTTGGTCTCCGAGACCTACTCTGACTCAGACTCGGATGGCGGAGGAGGACATGCATTGGAAGAGCACTCGATGGGTGAGAGGACACCACTGAAGAGATCACTTCTGATGGAAATGGATTTGACGGAAAGCCGAACCAATTCGCCGAACAATTCATTGTTTCAAACGATTGAGTCGTTGGACACCAGAAGACAGTCGTCGGACGACAATAAGTACGACGACGAGGAAGAGGTGGCGAACAGAGAAGGCGGCGACGAGAGGGCCGACTCTCCCGTCTCTTTTCACCGCTCATTGTTTGGCAAAAGCGATGACCAGATAGTGATTCCGTCGGAACCGTCGGAGTTGTGTTCAAAAGCACTTCAGGAAAAGGTCTGCAAATTGCACTCAAAGATGAAAATGGGATCCAATATGAATAAACTGATCCAAAGGCGCAAAGACTTTCGCAATCCCAGTATTTACGACAAACTGATCGCTTTCTGCAGTATTGACGAAATGGCCACTAATTATCCGCCGAATATATACGACCCGCACGTCTTCACTGAGAAGTCCTTCTATGAAGAGTTGGCCAAAAGGCAGAAGGAAGACATGGAGCGCAGGGAACGCGACCGACGCGACAGGACTAAAGTCGAGTTCATGTCCGGCACTAAAAAGGGACAGACTTTTGATGCCAACGAAGCGACCAAAAAGAAGAGCAAATGGGATCTCCCGAGTGCTGGCACTGCGGCCAACAGTCAACTGCCAAACGCGCCAATCGGTCTCATTAGACCTCAAGTAGTGATCCCCGTGTCTGTGGCCTCCGGTACTAAACCCACAATCATCTCAGCCTTTGGCACAATTAGCAAGAAATCGAAATAATTGTCTCTAATTTTTGTTTATTAAAAGTTTTCGTATATTTTGTAATGAAATTCATGTAAAAATTCATTAAATATTTTGATAATAATTTGCATTTGTATTATACTATTGCTCGGCAATCTAGTATAGCGGCTATACTTAGTGTAGCCATATGTTCAACTAATATATCTAACATAAATATATGCATAATTAATTGATTAAATTGATAATTAACAAACATTTCACATTATAATTAAATATAATCATATTTAACATAGAGGACACAAAATGTTGAACAAATATTGTAAAGTTTCAAATAAATCTGTTTATAAAGTTATATACAGTATTTTGTTTGCAAATTTTGATGATTTATACATTTTTAATTAATCGCATAAATTTAGTAATCATTTTGTAAATATTTATTTTTATATTGTTTATACTATTGCTCGGCAATCTAGTATAGCGGCTATACTTAGTGTAGCCATATGTTCAACTAATTATAGATTGTATTTATATACGTATTAATTAACTAATTTAACTATTAATTGTTTGTAAAGTGTAATATTAATTTATATTAGTATAAATTGTATCTCCTGTGTTTTACAACTTGTTTATAACATTTCAAGCATGTCAATAGGATTTGAATTGAAGAAATGAAAATTGTTTCCAATTAATTTGTTGTTCATTATAGATAATTGTTGTGCAAATTTTTGTTACCATTATAAGAATGAATTACTAGTAAATATATAATTAATAATTACTAATAATTTCAGTAATGAACCAGGTTAAAATGACCAAACTAATCGTATTTGCACAAAGACATTAAGATCACGTTTGAAAATATAGTCATCGAATACGATTATGTTAAATATTAATAAAATTGTTGATAATCGCAAACAATATCACAAATCCCATTAAAATGTGATTTAATAATTAAATTCCTTGATTTAAAGTGACATTTGTGGATAGACTGAAAGCCAACCACTATTAAAAATGGGTGAGAAACTATTAGGTATAATCGCAAACAATATCACAAATCTCATTAAAATGTGATTTAATAATTAAATTCCTTGATTTAAAGTGACATTTGTGGATAGACTGAAAGCCAACCACTATTAAAAATGGGTGAGAAACTATTAGGTTGACCTTCACGTGGTGTTTCTTGTTCAAACTGACAAACCTAAATTTTTTATCTACTGTTGCGCCACCTATTTATGGCACACTGTGAATCTGTATATGTGATATGCTAAAAAAGATTGCCGATCAATATATTATACAATCATTACTTGAAATATTTTAAGGGAAAATGAATGAAAATGTGTACTCAAACTGAATTATATCATGAGTTCTGGTAATCTAATTGTCAATTAATTTATAAGATTTTTAATTTTAAAATGTTTGGATAAATGTTTAGTTTATATCTTATCCAAAGTTTAGCGTTCTGTCTATTCTTGCTATAAATGATTGTTTTGGATATTATGTTTAGTTTAAATACATGATAATTTGTTGTTATCATATGTTATGAATTCATTGATTATATTAAATAATCTTTAATTTAATTCTAATGAATAAATACATTGTTAAGCGTTAGAAACGTTCAAAATATGGTTGAAAAGGGGTCATTAAATGTCAATGTCATACAACTCAATCACTTTGTAATGGTGTTTGCTTTTCTGCATAACAGCTATAAAGAACTGTTTAATACACGCGAACATTGCAGTGAAGCTTACCATGAGATAAGGTGCTGTGCATAACTGGATGTGTAATAGAATGGCAAACAAATTGTGTGAAAAGGGGAGGATTTGAATGACTATTGCCTCCAATGAGTCAATACAAGCCATTAATGATTGCTTTTCACATGAAATACAACACAAAAAACATATGAAACAAAACAACTCAACAAATAATAGTGTTTTTGCATAGATTTGAGTGCAGTTTGTATTGAATGCTTTGATTGGCATTTCAATTGTGTTTACAATACACTGATTTGGACACCAATTCAATGGTCGATAGACTCGGTATTTAGACTCACTTTTGATGTCATTTATTGATTTGATTTCTTATTGATGAACACATGAGACCTGTATTTGCAATACTCTGTACTCCCGATATAGTGAACAGTGAGGCCAATGCCCGACGCATACAGAATGTGGAGAACTGTTTCGGCATCTCTGGAGTGGTAATCAAATGACTTGTCTTCACTGTAATGACCATTAATTGCTTGTTTTGTCTCCAAATCGTCAGCCGCTGGGAATTCCGGGCCGGGTTCTGGTCGGCGAAGGCATGTATCGGTTCCTCTGCTATTGATTTGCGTGAATAAGTTGTTGTAATTAATTGATGATATGTTCAGGCATTTTGACGAAAGGGTGTCGCAAGAAGTTGAAGCCCCGGCAGGTGTTCCTCTTCAACGACATCCTTGTCTACGGAAGTATTATAATCAACAAAAAGAAATACAACAGACAACACATCATTCCTCTGGAAAACGTCAAACTCGATAATCTGGACGACGAGGACAGCGATAGTATGTGTTGTTGTGTTTGTCTATGTATTGGATTAGTGGTAACGATTGGTTGTGATAACAGATCTGCGGTTCGGCTGGCAAATCAAAACGCCGACCAAATCGTTTGCCGTATACGCGGCCACAGCCACAGAAAAGGTTGAATGGATGGCACACATCAACAAATGTGTGGACGAACTCATCAAAGCCGGGAACCGTCCGGCCGAAGAACACGCGGCTGTTTGGGTCCGTTTAGACTATAGTTTTGCTTTATATTTCAATCATTAATCGATCGCTTATTTGTTTGAATCGATAGAAACCCGACAAGACATCCAATATCTGTATGCATTGCAAGAAAACTCAATTCACTGTTATTAACAGAAGGGTATAAATAATTGTTTGGTTAAGTTTATATGTAATTTAGTTAATTTGAATTGTTATCCGTATTCATTGATTAGCATCACTGTCGAAGCTGTGGTGATGTGGTGTGCGGGCAGTGCTCTAAAAGTAAATTCTTGATTCCCAACCAATCTGCAAAACCGGTTCGAGTCTGTGATGGATGTTATGATAAATTGGGAAAAATGAGGACCAGTTTTAAAGAGAAGAATAATACAGACATACAATCGGACGGAAAAGCTATGAATAAAATTGAAAACATGAATGAATCGTCCGATTCTGAAGACGACGACAGCCCTCAGAACCTCAGCAAAAGGCAAACAGAGGATGACATGTGTCGGAGTCTCGAAGATCTTACTATCGATGAAAAGGTTTGTTCAACAATTTCTATACACATTTGCTGTTACCGTAAATATGAATGACTAAAATGTGTATTTATTGTACATTTAGCCCACTTTTTATGGCTCTATTACGAAGCCTGAAGACAAACGACTCAGCGCTTAGTCTAAGACCAACAATACTTACAGTGAGATTTGAAACGTGCCTTTCAGTCGGAATTGATGCCTAAATCTATGAAAACATTTTTACATCATTTACTGTTAAAAATACATTTTTTGAGGCAATTATCGAATTCTATATTTTATAGACAATTATATTTCATAAAAAAGCAAAACTTATTTTTTAATCATTTCTATAATAAGATTTATTTTGTGTCTAAATGAGTGAATATTTTATATATTATTAAATCAATTCTCTAAAGATTTATTTTTTTCTGATAATTAAATTCAACAAATATTTTTCAAAATATAATAAACACATGTTTTAATGTCTAATGTTTGTTCAAAAATTACTACCAAGGTATAAATTATTTGCTAATGTCTTCAATTGTCTTCTAATGTCCAAATCTAAGACTTATTGGACGGCTGTTTGAGTCGGTATTTAGACATATCGATCATATAGTCGTAAAAACTGTTGGCGTTGTGACCGTAATATTCAGGCGACCGATAGTTGCCGTCGTCTATCTGCCCGCTGGACGTGGCGGACGCCACTTCGGGCGCGGCCGCAGCTTTGGGCGCCTTCTTCGACGACCCTTTCGATGGATTCGTGTCTATAATAACACATTCATTACATTTAATGCAAAAGTAAATTAAAAGCACTAAAAACAAACTGCTTGTAATGGTTAAGCGAGTGACCGCTTTTCACCATATGGTAAGTTCTCGTCGGCAGCCCTACTATAACTGCCGGACGAGGATTGCGGGCCAATACGGGTATAGGATGTCATCCGTACGGGACGTGTATATTGTGGGGTAAAAGCAGTTTGTTTTTAGTGGTAATCAATGGTAACAAGTTTTATGTACTCTTTGGCTGTGAAGACAATTGTCGCCAACAAATGGTAACAATCGGACGATAATTGGGTCTCATTTTGGGCCTTAAATTGCGGACAAAAAAAACTGTAAACGAGATGTGATTTTGAGACGAGAGCTGACCATAAATATCATACACTGTTGTGGGGGTGGAGGGAGAGAGAGGGGAGGGGAGGGGCGGAGGTGTGGCCTGTGATGAGGACAACGCATGCGTTGACGTGTTTTGCAGTGTTTTTGTGTTTACACTGTGTTTGGAGTGAATTGTGAGTCAACTCTGACTCGAGTCTCACTTTTGTGTGAAAAATATATAAACAAAGCGTTAAAATGGATGAAGACTTGTCGGCATTGGATCCACAGTCCGGCCACAGACATGTCTTCGGCTGCCAATCGGTGGACACCCATCACGTGCCACAACTGCCACAACACGTGAGCACTCGTACGGCAGTGACGGACAGCACAGACACGAACCCCAGCCATACGTCTCTTCACTTACATCGGTATCGATCGCGCACTTCGTTTGGCAGACAATTGTCGAACTCTGAGATCTGCCGCCGAAGACGCGACAGTCTCTCAGCGCTCAACTACCAGAACCTGTCCAGCAGTGGGTCCGTCATTAATGTGGACCCGTCTTCAGGTATGTGTTGTGTCCGTGTGTTATGTGTTAGCCATTCATCGCTAATCGCATCCCATCTTCTGTGACCATAAGGCGAGACATCAAATTTGGTCCGATTTCGGTCATCACTTATGGGACAATCGGCGCCATCGCTATCGCCTTCGATGGTAAGTATTATTTGATTGTCTTTCTTGTCGTTTGTGTTTGGGATCAGTTCTTATCATTCAATCGGTGATCGCTTTATCCTTCGTTTGCCTAATGATAACAGAAGTAAATCTTTTTGCAAATGTCTTGTGATTATAATAATAGCCATTAAATGCCTGAATATATGGAAGCGATAAGTGATTGATTTGCTTTCGTTTCTCTCGTCTCTCAATAAATGATATTTTTGTCAAATATTTGGCTTAAAAGCGACAAAATATTGATATATTATAATATATTGATTGCAATTAAAAGTATATTTAAATTGGGATCGATTTATTGATGTGTAATAATTAGTAGTTTCAACATAACTGTTGTCTCTGTTTTGTAGTTAACTTTGAGATGGATTTATGAATAATATTTTAATTGTTTAATTGATTGTATAATTAACTGGTATTTAACCGGTTTTGAGTCCATATATCACATCATAACGATTGGTGTCTAAGAGTCGGCAAAACTTTTTAGTTTTTATTTATATTATCTTTTTATGCAAAGAGTTTAACGATTTCTCAAATAGTTATCTATATTTTATAGCGTTTTTACATAATATTTAACAACACTTGAGAATAACATCAATTACTTAACTATAGAAAGCAATTATTATATCATTTGATGAATCATTTATTCATTGATTTTGTTTTATATAATATAATTAATAGACTTTTGTATCCATTCTTTGGATGTAATGCTTTATAATCTCTTAAAACAATCGATTATTTGATTTCTAAAAATACATTTTCCAGTATTTATTATAAAGAATGAGAGCATCACTTGTGATAATCAAAACTCTATTCATACTATAAATTAATGTTATGGTTATTATACATAAGCCATTAACTTATATTATAAAGACATTGTTAATTATATTTTATACAATATATTAATTACTTAATTGTGTTTTCATTGAAATCGTTTTATTAAAAGTCCTGCTTTTAATAAAAATAAAATATTTATATTCAAAGCTTTTTGATGTTTCATAACATAATGCAAACATTGGTTGTGTGAATGTGAGGATCGATAGTTACTGTGTATTTTAGCTCATTTTACCCGTAAATTTATTTTAATACAAATGTTTTATAATATTACATAAAATGTGATGATATGTAACATTTGAGATATAAATTGGCGATGAATAGTGAGCTCTGAATTGGCATTGAAATCAATTTATTGGGATTGAAATGAATAGAAAGTGTAGAGCAAAGCAGAACTGATGCCAAACTTTTGAGATTTTGTTCACTTTATGTAATGTTTATATTTATGACAGAAGGAAGCAAATAACACAAGAAAAACACAGTAAGTGATGAAAACGTAAACTCATTAAACAGTTTGTATAATTGCTTTTGGCGTTTAAACTCTTTCCCAGTCGATGCGCAACTCGTAAAAGTCTGATTCCCGTTTCGCCAACACTTCCCAGATCTCCATTACCACAAAGTAATGCATTTATACGGCCATTGAGTCGATGGTTATGTTTACGGTTGTGTTTCTGTGCTAACAGGCAGTCCATTGGAGAGCCCCCGCAATATGTCGCCCTCCACTCACTTCGTGTTCGCCACTAATAAGAAGATTGAAGGCAGGCGTTGGTCCGTCGCCTCACTTCCCTCTTCGGGTTACGGCACGAATACACCCAACAGTTCTAATGTATGACAATCTAAATGTGTTAGCAATCCATGTAATGAATCCATTGATTACTCGCCACAGTCTCAGTGCTCTTCTCAAGAAAAGTTGCACCAATTGTGCCATTTGTCACACGAAGACTCAACTCACGCGTCTATGGGCGGACACATGCATCACATCCATCACTGTTGCCATCACGTCAGTCACAATCTTCTGCAGCACTCGCATCACAACAAGATATTAAGCTTAGAGACGGCTCAACACTTCAGTAGCAATGATAGTAATCCGAGTTATGACGAAGAAGTGAGATGTTTGTCACCTATGATCCGACCGCGATCTCGCAGTCTGAGTAGTCCCGTGCGGTCGCCCAGCGCTGACAGCGAACGCATTTTGATGAATAACTTATATAAAGAGAGGTTTCCGAAAGCGACGCAACAGATGGAGGAGAAGTTGTTTAAATTCATAAGCGATCAGTTGAACATCGATGACATCGAGTGTTGGGCCGCCTCCGACGCGGTGTTCCGTTTCGCTCACCACCAGGTGATCGAATTGGCCAAAGACTGTCTCCAGAAATCCAAAGACAAACTCATCACTTCTCACTACTTCTTTGAAATCTCCGAGAATTTGGAAAAACTTTTAGTTGAGGTTTGCGTTGAATACAGATTTTTAGATATTATTTATGTTAAACTTTAATCAACTATTTGTTGACACAGTGTCGAGAAAAGTCACCGACAGCTGCCAATCATTTATGTTCACTGATCAAGAAGGTGATGATCATATTGTCCCGTCCCGCACGACTCTTGGAATGTCTTGAGTTCGATCCCGAAGAGTTCTATCGACTCCTGGAAGCGGCTGAAGGACAGGCTAAGTCTACTCAAGGCATCAAAGTGTCGGTCCCTCAGTATATAATCAGTAAATTGGGACTCAATAGAGACCCGTTGGCAGACATGTCGCCAAATATGGAAAGTTTAGACATAAAAGATGACAACGAATTAAATCCTCAATCGGATGGGAAGGCCGAAGAGATGGCCAAACCTCCGTCCGAAGAGGACTACGAGACAATCAAATTGATAAGCAATGGCGCGTACGGAGCCGTACATCTCGTTCGACACTTAGAGTCGAGGCAAAGGTTTGCGATGAAGAAAATCAATAAACAGAATCTACTCCTTCGGAATCAAGTGGAACAGGTGTTCGCTGAGCGCGATATCATGAGTTTCACAGACAACCCATTCGTTGTCTCAATGTTTTGCAGTTTCGAAACCAAACGCTACTTATGTCTAGTGATGGAGTACGTGGAGGGCGGCGACTGCGCCACTCTTCTCAAGAATATGGGCCCCTTTCCGCTCGATTTGTCGCGACTATACTTTGCCGAAACTGTATTAGCGGTCGACTATTTGCATAGCTTTGGTATTGTTCACAGAGACTTAAAGCCCGACAACCTATTGATCACAGCGTTGGGGCACATAAAGCTCACGGACTTTGGTTTATCCAAAATGGGTTTAATGAATTTGGCCACCAGTCTGTCCGAGGGATACCTCGACCGCGAGACCAAACAGTTCACCGATAAGCAAGTGTTCGGAACGCCTGAATATTTGGCCCCAGAAGTGATACTTAGACAGGGATACGGACGGACTGTCGACTGGTGGTCGGCCGGTGTTATACTTTACGAATTTCTGATCGGTTGTGTGCCGTTCTTCGGCGAAACACCCGAAGAACTCTTCGCTCACGTTATTAATGATGAGATTGAATGGCCTGACGAACAGGACTGGCCATTGATTGATGACTCCAAGGATATTATATCACAGCTCTTACAACACAACCCGATCGATAGATTAGGCGCCGGCGGCGCTCATGAAGTGAAAGAGCACTCATTCTTTGATGATATCAATTGGGAGGCATTGCTTCGACAAAAGGCAGAGTTTGTGCCGCAACTGGACGGCGAAGACGACACCAGTTATTTCGATACCCGCGCCGATCGATACAATCACGACTGCGTGGACTCCGAAGACTTGGAGGACACGGACGACAGCTCTCTATTCGGAAGCTTCTCGTCGTGTTCTCCGCGTTATCGCAAAGTCTACTCCAGAATTGAGAAAGAGTTAGAACAGGAGAATAGACTTCGATTGTCTTCTTCTTCCTCATCACTCAAAGAGGAGATAACTATTTGCCCGAAGACTAGAACCCATTCAACGAAATCTGATTCATCTATTTTGCGGTCTATGAGCGTAACCGAAGACCAAATGAAAAGCCAATCACACCCTAAGTTATTGGATTCAAAGAGCGCTTACACTCCAACTTTGAGCAAACCTATGGCTCAGAGCACTCCTGAATCATCTCAGACCGAATCCGAAGACATTTCGCCGCAAACTTATCGAAAGCGAAAGCCTTTGAGTATAACTAAAGACGCGTTACCGAAGTTTTCGTTCAGTGTTGACGACACGTCTACTCTATACGAGAGCCCCAACTCGTCGCCGCACATCTCTATCAAAGAGTTGCCGCCACTCGACGAGAGCTTTACCTCTTCTGATGAGAAGAGCTCTTCGCCGCGAAGGCTATCGGATGGACCGTACGGTTCGGGACTTCCGGTTTCGGCTAAGATTTCGATTCCTTCGGTTTCGCCAATGAGACAACCGATGCGCTCCAGAGCTGTCATAAAGTCTGCCTCTGCTTCTGGTTTGTCACTAATCATCTCATCGGACGATTCGTCGGTCGCACGCATTGGTTCACTGGCGGCCACTTCTTCCGGAGGTTCGACGACCAGCTCTCGTGACACATCGCCCAATCGCGAGATGAATTCACTGCCGTCTCAACTCAAACCTCCAATTATATTACGGAAAGGGCCGCGAGGTTTCGGATTCACCCTTAAAGCCATTCGTGTCTATTATGGGGAATCAGACTATTATATTGTCAATCATTTGGTTTTGGCGGTTGAGAGCAATAGTCCCGCATTTGAAGCCGGTTTAAGACCCGGAGATCTGATAACACATATAAATGGAGAATCGATTACTGGATTACTTCATCCGCAAGTTCTACAACTCGTAAGCCAATTGTTTTTGCAATTATTTTTTCAGTATTAATGTTATTCTCTTAACTTTTAGGTGCTTTCGGGCGGCGATAAAGTGAATATAAGGACGACACCGCTCGAGAATACGTCCATCAAAAGCGGTGGCCGTAAACGGAATCCTCACACCAGCAAAATGGCCCGAAGGCCTATCAATAGTAATAATAAACACCACAAAAATGTCAAATCAAGTCACGTTAAGCGAAGCGATTCCGACAAAAGGCGCAGATCTTCGCTCTTTCGACGACTCAGTTCGAAGAGAGCGAGCGTTGAAATGAATCAATTGGTAATCAATACGAGCGGTACGACTCAATTGCCTCCAATCACACCACCGCCGATCTCTGCGCAACAAATAACTCCCAGTCGTAGCTATCAATCGCTTCACCGGACGCTCGCAAACGTATCGCTCGATAATGTGATAATAAGCAGCGGAAGCACCACTTCGTCGGTGACTCCGCCCTCATATAGACTGCCGACGTGTTCGCAGTCGGACTCATCCAATACGACGGGTAACTCATCGGTGGACAGCTCTCCCACCAGTTCTGCCCCTAACTCTCCCGCGAGCACTACCCGTCCCTCTAGTCTTCACGGCCTCAAACATAAACTCATCCAAACGTTTCGGTCGCCGCGACGCAAGTCTTGCGGACACATTCCTCTCTCACCTCTGGCCCGAACGCAAGGCGTGTCGCCGACTGTGAACACACTTCAGACCACATCTCCCACTTCGCGCTCTCCTTCGCCGCTCGCATTCCCAGTTCACCATCAAATCGGAAGCTCACAAACCACGCAAACCTTTGTACTCCAAAAGAACTCTTCTGGCGTTAAATTGGCGACAAATAATCTCTTGACTCCGATCGACATCCGGACCAACACTAGTGACGCTTCACTCAGGAGTACTTCTCCCGAAACGATGTCTTCGAGCAAATTATCCGATAATAACAGTTCGTATGCATTGAAGAAAAGAGAATCGTTAACCAGTTCTCCGTTGGCTCTGTCGTCGTGTCCGCCGTCAGCTTCCGTATCGAAGTTAGCGCTCGAGTCGACCAAAAAACATAGCAATAGTTCGCCGAAGAGCTCAAAGAAGATGGAAAAATGTTGTGATCCGTTAATCGGTTGTAATAAGACATCAAAGATTAGCTCAAGTGATATAAAACAAAACGAATTGATTTCGAGCTCTTCTTCTGAATCATCTGTGATTCAAATGTCGAGCAAAACGAGTGGACCTTCTCTTGACTCGAATCGATTGACTTCATTATCAACTGAGACAGCAATCGATAGACGATCTGTGAAACACAGTTCCAGTTCGAGCACAAGTAGTACCACAAGCAGTAGTTGCAGTTCAGTGGTGAGTAAGTCAACGAAGACCACATCCACTGCTTCTTCGAGTACCAAATTTCTCTCTAAGCAAACCACTTATGAGAAGAAAAAGTCTTCGAGTCGTTCCACATCTACTTCTAAGTCAACAAACAGTTCGACAAAAAGCAATTCAAACAAATGATATTTAATTGCAATTCGCGACCATTTATTGTCACAATTTATTAATTATTCGAGTAATTAATAGACACTTAAATCCATCCCTTCTTCTAATGTAAATACAGACAAATTGTGAGACTATTATCTCATAATCGCATTGTTTTCAATACTAAATATATCTATACATTAATATCCGGTGAAGAAAATTGATGTTCAATACAAATAGCCATCGAATCCCACTTTATGTTTGCGATATTGATATCGTTTTTACCAGTTTTGCATCCATTTAACACTTAATAATGTCTTAAGGCATAACTAACCAGGGGGAAAATTCATCCCCCTCCATTAAATTGAGGGATGTGGCAAACAATGAGAAAGTCATGCCCAAATTCTAAGTGTACTTGCAACTGAATTAATTTTTTAAAAATCAGTAAAATCCCATATAACTCTGCATTTTGACGCCAAAAAGTTATATGAAAATAATGATAGCCCTCTATATGAGGATTCCAAAAATATCTAATATACCTCTTTAACATTAGTAACGCCACCGTTGCAGCAATTTAAATTTCAAAGAATTTTACTCAATTTTGCCTATTTCTGTTAAAGTTTTTAAATAAACTAAGTTATATAGCATATTAAATGAGCGCCTTTGATAAGTTCTAACAGACTATTACGACGAAAAACATGGCCAGAAGTGGGAAAAATTGAGTAAAATTTTTCAAATTAAAATAGCCGTCACTGGGCGCTACCAATGTTATATTATTAACAAGTATATTACATATTTTTGGTATCATTTTATAGTGGTTGGACGCAGTATCCTTTGGACGGGAGTATGACACTTGTTTGAAACCCATTTGCTCGAAACCCACTTGCTCAAAATTTATAAATGTAATTAGTAACGTTATAATTAATATAAAATACCATTAATATTAAATTTATTACAAAAGTGGGTTTCGAGCAAGTGTCTACGTCCCCCTTTGGACGCCAATTGCTAAAATAAGATTGCCATTTCCCCCGTTATTACAGTTTTATCCCTTATTTCGAACAAATTTGAATGTTATATTTCGGGAAAATTATGTTCTAATAGTTTTCAAATGAAATTTATTTTCTATTTTTTAATTCATTTTCATAGAAGTTGTTTTTATTTGTTTGAAATTAAACAGTCCTCCTAAATTCCTTTTTTGTAATAAATTTTATTTGATTTCTTGATTTTTCTCGATAAACATTTATTGATATATAAAGTAATTGTTATATTTTTATTCATTAATTAAAATTAGTTATTTAAAGAATATAACTAGAAATGATTTAAATATGACATTTGATAAAGTTTATAAAATCGTAAATATTATAATTATATGGCATTGTAATTTTTAAATTGTTGTAAATTTTTTATAAAGTATTAACTTTAATTGTATGAATGAGTTCTCAATTACAATTACACCAATCAATACAATATTTAATTCTTAATACAAACCAATATCTAGACATAGGATGGCGTTAGGGTTTCTGTAATTTAGTATTTGCTTCAATTCAAATTGGTTGAGAATTTTATAATAGGAGAATTTTGTTGAGAATTATAGACATTAGAGCTCAACTTTTCACTGGGTTAAATTTTATAATGTAATTTATGGTCTTTGTCTTTTATAGTGAATAGACATTACCATGGTGAATCAAGTCTCATTTTAAACATAATATAGCATCTAAGTGTCCAATTGTGCACAACATAGAACTCTGTTATTATAGCTGTAAAAATATTATTTTATATCGTAATTAAGGCATAACTAACCAGGGGGAAAATTCATCCCCCTCCATTAAATTGAGGGATGTGGCAAACAATGAGAAAGTCATGCCCAAATTCTAAGTGTACTTGCAACTGAATTTATTTTTAAAAAATCGGTAAAATCCCATATAACTTTGCATTTTGACGGCAAAAAGTTATATGAAAATAATGATAGCCCTCTATAAGAGGATTCCATAGTGGTTGGACGCAGTATCCTTTGGACGGGAGTATTACACTTGCTTGAAACCCATTTGCTCGAAACCCACTTGCTCAAAATTTATAAATGTAATTAGTAACGTTATAATTAATATAAAATACCATTAATATTAAATTTATTACAAAAGTGGGTTTCGAGCAAGTTTCTACGTCCCCCTTTGGACGCCAAGTGCTAAAATAAGATTGCCATTTCCCCCATTATTACAGTTTTATCCCTTATTTTCTTGTTTAAACTTACAATATAAAGCCCTTTTAATACAAGATTATCAAAAGTTTACTTTAAATAAAAGATAAAAAATTAAGTAAAAGTATCTTCAACAAAAATAAACAAACTTTAATTTGTCAGGAGGTTAGTTTTGAAGTCAACTGTAATTTTTCTGAGTAGAACCATTTAAACTGAAAATTAGTTAGCGTTGAATTTCTTAATAACTAGTCGGTTATGAGTAATCATTAAGTTTGAAAATAACATTGTACTTAGAATTAACCAGTTGACTAATAGTCAAGGCCAATTAGGAATGCGTTAATAATCCATTTAATTGATTGAATTTTAATATAATCTAATGATTAATATGATTATAATGAATGCATATGTTTTAAAGTGATTGATTGTATTGATTGAAGTTTTATTTACAATGAATTTAACACTATTTTAAATGTTTTATAGTTTTAATTCAAGTAATAATTTGTAAATACTGTATATATGATAGGGAGGGACCAAAAGGGCACTTACAGTACGTGCTATACATTCTTGACTTCATAGTATACCAAAAGCCCAAATGCTTTAAACAGAATATTCTGTGATTGTTGTGGTCTATGGCCGAAGTGAGTGCTCTTTTACTGCCCCCGACTCTCATAATATATAATATTGAAAATACGAAAACGTGTTGATTATTGGGAACTCGTATATGATTTGTAAAAATTATAATTATAAATATTTTATTTATTTCCTTTATTTTGTATTCGTTTGGACTGACAGTGAATTTAGTCTTTGAAAGTGTGGAAAATACTATTATCTGATACTGTAATACATTTAATACTTATTTATGGCATAATATGAATGAATTGGTGTTAAACAGTAATCGAGTGTTGGATTTGTTGCACTCGTATTGCATTTCAAATTAAATGTTTGGACAAAATTGAGATAATTTAGTCCTCAGTCTTCACTTTGTTTTAATACGAATTAAATATGTATTTAACTGTAAAATAATTGTTTTCATTGTTATATAAAATGTAGTAAAAATTTGTTGATTTGTTTTGAATGTAAAAATACTTATTTTATTTGATTTTATCAAATTTTAGTTAACAATAAACTCAAATCAAACGACTATTTTATCTCTCTTTCATTATTGCATATCAGATCATAGGATATATTGGAATTATATTCATATGAAATTCCAATGAATTTACTTTTTGATATTACAGGTATATTTGGACTCAACATTAAAAATTACCGCACTTAAAATGTGCATGGTACTTTTTATGAAAATTAGCTTGAATTTAACATTATTTCTATGTAAACATTCTTAAAACTTAAATATCTCACTTGTGAATAGAAAATAGAGATGTTTTAAAGAGTTTTCTATATTTTAGTGCAGCACCGGAATCGGATAATCCGTTCAAAAGTTATTATGCTTAACATCGATACATGAAAATGCAAGTAGTGTATATTTATTTAAAATTCAGTTAATTACTCTTAAATAATACTGTGTTTGGATTTATTGAATATATTTATATTAAATCGGATGATCCCATCATAAGTTATGTGACACTTAAATACTCGTTCGGATATTTAAAACTTTTATAAACACTTTGAACATGTGTTTCAACAATAACTTACCCGCGATTTAGCCGTGTATTCACTCGTTTATTAAATTATTAGCCCTTTTACGGTATAGTAAATATATATTTATCAAAGTTTTTTATATTCTTATACCAAAGTTTATATTAATTTCACGAATCGTTAAATTTAAAATCTTATTATAAAAATGTTGCTGTTTTTAAAAGATAGATTAAAAATATATTGAAAACATAAAATTTAAATCACTTGCCATTTGGTACAATCTAAATGAAATGTAACTGCCGTAGTGTGACCATGCTCCTTTAACTAAAATTCCAATTTTAACATTGTATCAAGGGTACTCATTATTAATACAAAAAGTGCAATTATTTTATTACAATTCAAAAGTAACGCTAAAATAAAGTAAATATTTAATTATTAATTTTATTTGATTATTTGGTCAATAATTAAATGATTATCTGATTATATCTTTAATATCTCAGACCATAGGATGTATAGAAATTATGACGATTTTGACTCAAAGTATTGATAAAAAGTGAGCAAAACCTTTGAAACATTGATATCTGTTCTGAAAATGGGATAGCATTTGATTCAAAAGTATTAATCAGTCAATCAGATCTCTCTCTCTCTCTCTCTCTCTCTCTCTCTCTCTTTGTAAAAAAATTAAAAAAATTTTACCAAAATTTTTTTTAATGATGTATTTTACAAAATGAAAAATCTGTGCATGTAAAATACATGTAAAATACTATGTAAATTACATACGTAAAATACATGGTTTGTCATATTGCCAACCCTAGTGCAGTATTTGATACGAGTTTGTGTCTAAAGGCAAAGCATAACCAATGCATTGGTTGTACGGCAAGTGTTTGCATTCAATGCATTCAATGGTATGATATGTGACGTCCAAATAGTTTGCAATACTTTTTTTCGTAACAAAACTTTTAGTGCTATAAAAGTTGTGTTGAAATGCAGTGAATGTTTGGTTCAAACAATTGCCATCACTTTCTGGTAACCAATTTATACATCCATTGATTGCATCCATCGGTTCCGACCATTCAATTCATTTGTCACTCAAATGGCATTTTGCGGACGTCTTTGTCTACGAAGACATTATTTTAATGTTTTTAATTCACGCAAACTCTTGGTGTCCAGGAGTTTGGCCTCCAATCCATACCTGATTCAAGTGAACCATCAAATCGACCGCAAGAGACCAGATGTGACACAATTTCACAAGAGTTGGCTTCACTTAAGTAGCCGTGAGTTTGTCTCTCATTGTCTTCAAATGTTATATCACTTATTGCGTAATGTCTTTACTCGTAGACCGATTGTCACCAGAAGTGGTTCCGTTCCTATTGTCAGACATCGGCGAAGGTATCGGCGAAGTGACTGTTAAGGAGTGGTACGTGAAAGTCGGCGATACTGTCCGTCAGTTCGACAGTATATGCGAAGTACAGAGCGATAAGGCGTCGGTCACTATCACCAGTCGATACGATGGTGTGATCCGATACATCCATTACGAAGTCGATGGCATCGCAAAAGTGGGCAAACCATTGGTCGACATCGAAATGGCGGCCAATAATGGTCTCCGAGTTTTAATCTAATTTTGTTTGTCATATGTTTTTAACAACAATATTACCGATTCCTTCAACAGATGAACAAATGGACGCCGTTTTGGACGACGAGACCGACAAATCGTCACACATTTCTCAGACCACGACTCAAGACATATCATTTCAAACAACAGACAAAGTATTGACAACTCCTGCCGTTAGAAGACTCGCAAACGAACACAACATTAGACTGAATGAAATTTCGGGCACCGGAAGGGATGGACGCGTTCTCAAGGAGGATGTCTTGAGTTATATCGAGAATATCAACAAAAAGGGTATTGTGTCTAATGAGGAAAAGGTTGCGCAAAGTGTGGCAATCGATTCCCACAGAACTCAACCGAAATCACCGGTTAAACCGAAACTCAAGGACTCAATGATCTTAAACGACAGAACGGAACCGCTTAAAGGGGTCGTAAAAGCGATGTCAAAGACTATGACTCAAGCCTTGAATATTCCTCACTTGGGTTTGGGTGAAGAGATTGATGTCTCAGAATTGGTTCACTTGAGGGCACAACTCAAACAGGTGTCCAAAGAGCGAAACATATCGATATCTTATATGCCGTTCTTCATTAAAGCCGTGTCAATGGCTTTACACGAGTACCCAATCCTTAACTCTTCAGTGGACGACAAGTGCGAAAACATAACGTATAAGACGTCCCATAATATCGGTTTAGCGATGGATACAAAACAAGGGCTTTTGGTGCCAAACATTAAGAATGTGCAAAATCTGACCGTTTTAGAGGTCGCGGAAGAGTTGAATCGTTTGCAACAAATCGGAGCTAAGAATCTCTTGAGTGGCGAAGACCTATCCAACGGAACCTTCACTCTCTCTAATATAGGATCCGTATGTTTACACTTCAAACCACTTTATTATGAGTTCTATAAACAAACTAAACATTTGGTTTTATGTACTCATAGATCGGTGGAGTCTTTGGCATACCTGTGATATTACCACCAGAAGTGGCGGTAAATATAATGTTTATAATTACTGTAAAAGAAAATGTATTAAATAATGTGTTTAATGTACAGATCGGAGCGCTGGGAGGTATTAAAGTGGTGCCAAAGTTTGGTAGCGATGAGAAGACTATAGTGAAGGCACAGACAATGACAGTGGTCTGGAGGGCTGATCATAGAGTGATCGACGGCGCGACAATGTGTCGCTTCTCCACACTCTGGAAGCAATATATAGAAAATCCTTCCCTAATGTTATTGCATTTGAAATGAATATTTGGTTTCTACTAATTTTGTTGACAATTTATTAACCAATTATTTTTTGATACGTTATATTAAAAACAGTTTTTATATTAGTTTAATAAATAACACAATTGTATGACTTTTCGGGTGAAACTCGGGATAAAATATCACAAAAACTGAACAAAACAAAAACGGAAAAGAAGGTAAAGGTTTAGTCGTTTTTCTGTAAACGCATTATATGTGAATAGATTTTGAGGGCCGGACCCAACTTCATGTGGAAACCGGTCAACACATCCGATCGTCTCAACAATAAAAGAGACGTTCCGTCGATCTCTTGCTCTTTGAAAAGAAGCGACTGTTCCGGGAAACCAATGTTGCGAATAAAGTTACCGACGTCTTCGGGCGACCACTTCTGCGGGTTTGGAACCACTTCTGGATAACTGCTGCCATAACTAATCAATTGATACAAAAATCCATTAGTAATTGACTTAAACATTGAAACATTTCAATACTTTTCTTTTGAATTTGAAGCAACGCTTGAGACCGAAGAGGTCTCGGAATTAGGTTTGTCAACAATTGTCTCACTTTTATCGTTCAAATCATTGATTTCATTGTGTGGTATGTTTTGGACGTCTGTTTTTTCGGCCACATTATTAGCGGTGTTGTTATCAATACATTCATTGCACTCCCATTTGCCTTCCAATGCCATCAAAACAATAGATCAGTAAATTTGATAAATATTAAAACTCAATTAAATACCGATTGGTTTGAGTTGAACGACAGGAATGTGACAATTCATATGAAAGCCTTTGTCGCAGAGATCGCAGACCAACATATTTGCCTAAAATTGATTCATTGGATTTAGTAAAACATAATGAATGGCATGAATGGCGATCTCTTCACTAACCGCGTCTTTTGAATCGTGACATATATCACAAGTCTTGCAATCCATGCATTGCCACGGACTCCGACTCGACCTCTCGGCCAACTCCACGCTATAGTCCATACAACTCGGATGCGCTAAAAGTGTTTGTAAATCACACATACGTTTCACAACTAATATCGCATTTAAGACAATGTGAACATACCTTTGGCGCCGCAGTCTTTACATGTGAGCAATTGTTGACTCTCTCCTCGAGAGTTGAGTGAAGATGTGTTTTGACACAAATCACACTTAGGATCAAAACTATTCCTCATGTATTGTGAGCCGAGTTCTGATGAGACAATAAAGTCCGGTCCCAAACACTTCTTGAATTTCTGTCAAACAGTTCCCATTCAATCACTAATACTTTGAGATATATGTGAGACCAACCTTTCGTTTGCTGATCGGTCTCTCGCGGGCCATCACTGGCGCCCCCTTTTTACGCGACATTAAACTGACAGACACTCCGTTGGATGCGGTCGAAGAGTCTTCAGTTAGTTCCGGATTATCTGATATAAGACATTGGTTTAAATGTCAATCAAACAAAAGAGTCATTAAACCTTTGCAATAGACATGACTAACAAAAAGTAAAAACAAACCAATTATCTCATTATCATCACAATTGGCGGCAATACTATCGGCAGTCATTTTGGCCACCAATTGATCGGTTCTTTCGGTGTCCACTTTGGGCGCAACCACTCGTTTGCCGAACACAACCATATAATTATCGTTTGCCAATCGCTTGACTGATCCTATGGTAAAGGGATGCGTGCATTGGATCCGTTAGAGACAATGGCAATAATAAGCGCACATATATTCTTGGAGCGCATGGAGTGATTGGGATACCTGTTTGAATGGTACGAGTGATAAGTCTGTCGACCAATGAATGGCTGCAATGAGTGAAGTGAGCGTTAGAGTGAAGATAATGGATGAGATCGAGTCGTGAGACGCCGTTGGGTCGCGACCGGCATAAGAGCCGCAACTCTCGGAGGAATCGTTTCATAGTTTGGGAACCGATGTTCCAACTCTTGTCGCACATGATATGGTTCGACATCTTTTGGTTGAACTTCAATGGATTGCGATAACTGACGAAATCCTTGTACTTCACTTTGAGAACCGCTCCGCGACTGACGGCCTCTTTCATGGCGGCGATCACCGCATCCCTCTTCACACCGAACTTTCTCTCCACGAAGTGACAGATCTTGGACTCGTCCGGACGCGCTTTCCGACCCTTCAGACAGTCGATGGCAGTGATGATCATACGTGTCGTGTCCGGCGATGCCGTCGACATCACTCTCGCCGTCACTTTAATGGCCACTCAATGGATGTGCGATAAGAATGAGATTCACTGCTAATTGTATTACAAATTCACAGCAATAGACATACACTACAGCATAGGCTGTGCTGTAGGCTATACTGTACTCTACTATACCTGGGAATCCAGAGCTGGAGTACAGGCTGTGCTGTACTGTACACACAGTATACACAGAGTATAGGCCAGGAGTGGGCGCGCATACGCTTACATCCACTCAAAGCCCCCCTTCAACCCCTCCAACACAAAATTGCCGTTCAATTCAGTGCTTTATGTGATGCGAAAACTTGTTATTTTGGTCTCCAATTCTATGCCTAACAGACCCTCTCCTCCCATAATATTCTGTACAGCATTTGTGTTGAGACACAAAATCAGTGTTGAAACTAATTTGTTGAAAACCAGAAGCCGTTAGTGTTTCGCGAATTGCACACAGAGTTTGCTTACGAGAGTTGCTGTGAAAGCGAGAGAATATTCTGTGAGGTATTGCAGACAGAATCCAATTGTTGAGAGTATGTGACCATAGATTCACTATATATTTACATCAACACAACGTCTCTCTCAGTCTCTTTGCCGACACACGTCTCCACACGAATCCAATGCTCTGACAATTAGATCGAAAAGTATTTATGAAACAAAACTTTGGTTTATATGAAAGAACATGGAATTCAATGATAGAAGATATGAGAAAAGAATGAACACTTCGGGCGTTAAAAACAAATGGATTAAAGCCTTCAGAACTTTAAAACTCGTGACCAATCCTGGAGACAGGTATGACATGATAACTACATCTCTCTCTCTTTCTCTCTCTCTCTCTCTCTCTCTTCTTATCTTTCTATGGTATTACCAATGAATGGATTCAATGATTTATATGCCATTCAATGCTGAGATCTATAGTATTACAGAACAGTTTGAATGTTATACTGTATAACATTCAAAGAGATCCGGATATCCGAATAGTGGTGTGAATCTCATTAAGAATTATATATTGATTAGACTTTAGTTTGCAAAACAAATTTAATCAAAATCAAAGCAAAACTCCCAAATAGTTTGACTCAATTTTTCATATCGATTGCAATTCTTTATTAATAAATTTCATATCAACTGAAAAAATAATTGTTATATATATTTGTTATATTTGTTGAAGCGATCATTACTTGCTTTCAAACCATCAAAACATTGAAATGGAAGAGAAAAGCTTTTTATATCGAAAATAAGATTATATATGTTTATAATAGTATATCTATAAGAATGGTATATATTTAGAGAAACACTTTACAAAAGCAGATGTCTTTATGTCGTCTCATATAGTTTTCAAATGCCATTTGGATCTGTTTCTCACTAAATCTTATTCATATTGAGCTCAACATTAGGTCACACCTAAAAAACACTGAATGCATCCAACGGTTACCACTCAAAAGATAATGTCAATAATTTGATCAATTGATGAATAACTTCATCGCAAAAATATTTCATTCATAACATGTAGAGTTAATACGATAAATGTTTTAACACTTAAAATAGACCCAAAATTATAATCAATAAAATATGATTTTCGTATAAATTCATTGTTCTGTTCAATGAATAGTTTTATACGTATATTATTATATATTTTATTATATTTTTAGTGACTATTTTGATGATAAATCTTTTACTGTAAATACTATGCTTTCATTTGAGAATCTCTTGTGAAGACTCACTCGAGAGTCTATCAGAGATTCAAAACTAATTTCATGTTTGAGTGAAAGAAATATGTTTTGAGAATATATATAGAGAATAGAGAGCATAACATGACAGCAAAATACTCAACTGTTTAAGCTTTGGTGACATTTTATATTTAAGGTTTAGTCTATAAAAGATTATATTTAAGTAATTTTTTTCTCCATTGGATCAGACATTAAAAGTAATGTTACTTTTATTGCAACAAAAGCTGTCGGCAATTGTTGAACATTACATCCAAAAACAATCATTTGATAAGTATTTTATATGAATATAATGAAGAAAACAATGGATTAATTTAAAACAATTGATTCGTTATTTTCTTTATTAATTATTTATGAGAGAATTGTATTAAAAACAAGACAAATAGAGCTAATTTGAAGTCTGTTTATTGTTACCAAATAATAGTCTTATAAAAGCAGAAATTTCTGTTAAACAACCTTTTTTTTTGTTTCTTTGTCTTATAAAAGAGATTTATTAAATTATTTAATAACAGATTTAATACTTTTATAGTTAAATAATGGAAATCTTTAGGTAATGAGAAGCTAATAGTTTGAGGGCTTGTGTGTGAGAAGCGTATGGAGAAAAAGTTAGAGAATTAACTTAATATAATCACTAATTTCATTGAAACCTACTTCCCATTAAAGGCTTCCAATAGAGGTATAATAAATCAAACACTTTTTCATTATTAATGTTTGCATAAATGCATTTAAAAATTGCTCAAACATTGAGTGTAGAACTTGTTTGACAGAGAAGTTAAAAGAGTTTGAGTAAATTCGTAAGAATATTAATCATGAAAATACAATGCCTTTAATGTAATGTCGATTAAATTTAAATTAAAATAAATGAAACGAAACAACTTTTCCTAATTAAAGGATTTCTCGTTTACAAAGTCTGTGCAAAAGAAGAAAAAATGAATTCCCTTTCGTAGAGTACATAAAAGATTATCTTAAATAATATATGAATGGATATGAAATGTGTAAAGAATTCGTTATATAATAAAAGTATTACACAATACTCTGACAATTAGATCGAAAAGTATTTATGAAACAAAACTTTGGTTTATATGAAAGAACATGGAATTCAATGATAGAAGATAT